TCATTTAAATTTTATTTAAAAAGACAATATTTAATCTTGTCAGATAACAAGAATACATAAACCCGGCAACGACGGATAATTCAGCTAATATATATATATATATATATATATTAATAAAATATTACATCATTGATTTAACAATATTATCATACAAAATAAATACAAAATAAGTATAATTATTTAAGTAAAAATTAAAGAGAGCATTATTATTGTTTTGTTTGGCTATTTTATTTATTCTTAGTTCCATTGAAGTAGTCAAAGACTATTTGTAATATCAAGTTTATTCCTTGTTTTAGTGTACATGTGCGTCATCCCGGAAAATCCAGCTATCCACAAATAGGTAGAAGAAAACAGAAGTAAAATGTTCATCCTCATACGTATTTCGATCAATACGAAATATTTGTCCGAAAGTTCCATCTAAAATATGTTCAGAGATATTGATTTAAATTTAGATTGTAAACCAGTATCTGATGATAAATCTAACAAAAGTTCTTCTTTTACCTAAGTTTAATTTATGTTATAAGTCTGCTACAGATTTTTTTACCCACAAATATTCGTTTCGTGGATCTTGGTTAAATCAATAATACTCTTCAATTTAGTGCCAGGCACGTAGTCAGAAAATATTCACTAGGTAGGCCAATGTTAGGTGAGCCCCCTCCTCCCAGGACTTTTTTATATTATAAAATGGTAGTTATCAACGTATCATTACTACAAATATATAAGTATATAACCTAATAATACCATATTTTATCATTTTATCTTCTCTTTGTAATTTTAGTTTTCTTTTGGCACATCCACTGAAAGGTGCCATTTTAAAATTAATTTAAATTTTAAATATGTAAGATAAAATGTATAAATACTAAAAATTGTACAAATATTAACGCAGGTGACGTTAGTATAAGTGCGGCGTGCGCTGAATGTGAATAAAGTGTCCAACCGACAACCATAATATAATTCTATATTTCTATATGAATCAATATAATGACAAAACCCTCGCTCAAAGTATTTTAAAAATAGACATACAAGTATACAGTAGTCACTACCTAGATAAGATAAGAACAACGTGACATTGTAGTATATAGTATATAGTACCGGTATTTAGATATAAATAGCAATTATTTCCTAATCGATTGATTTTATTTGCGTTATATTTAGGCAACATTAAAAACTAAAATCGATCATATAATAATGGGCCCCTCTGAATACTTTAGGTGGGCCGGCCTAAGGCCGGACACATATTAGGGTAGACCAGGCACACTCTGGCCCTCCCTTAGCTACGTGCCTGTCTAGTGCACGCAGTGCACGCTAGGTTATTGAAAGAAATTAGAAGAATTAGAAGATTTCATTGTGCATGAAAATTATAAAAAAATGTCTAAAAATTATTTCGAGTATATTTTGGAGCAAACAATGCCAAAAAAAAAGATCCATTATTTTTATTTTTTATTTTTCTTAATTCGATATAAATTTGACATCGAAGATAGTGTTATTTTCTTTTGACTTCTGCAGTACTCATTTTTAATGATTGTGCAACCAGTTTTATACATTTTGCCTTCTGTTTCCTGTCTCTATATTTCATTAATGTATAATTCCATAGTTCGGGAGATGACTCTACAAGTCATACTCTTATACATAGTGGTCAGTGGGAAACGGATGTTTTTGAAATTGGTATTACTGGGAAGGTGGTGGTCTCCCAAGGTTGCTGACACTCTTATCTTCTAACGCGAGAATGTAATTTTAGTAGCCATGGACAACTGGAATGTTGAGCATCGTATTTTTGCTGTTTCCGAATTTATTTAAAATTGTGAGTCAATTGTGTCCACGTGACGTGCTTTCCATCGTCGGTTTGAATTTGGTTTGCGTGACATTCTTCCAGCGCATAACACAATTTTGCGGTTAGTGAACAATTTTCGTACTCATGTAGTGTATAGTCCTACACCATCAGTAGTTACGCCTGAAAATGTTGAATGCGTAAAAACGTCTGTTAAGTAGAGTCCACGTCGGTCCATCAGACGCCGCTCTCAATTGTTAGGCATTTCTCGCACAAGTTTAATGAACATTTTGAATAAACGGTATGCTCCAAGAATTTCTCATCCCTCATCTCGAAGAAAATTAAGTTGACACAGAAAATATTTGGTTTCAACAAGACGGAGCCACAGCTCACACTGCGAGAGTTTCCATTGCTTTTTTGCAAACAATATTCCCCGGGCGCGTTATTTCCCGATTTGGTGACGTTTCCTAGCCACCGTACTCCCCAGATATCAGTTCCTATGACTTTTTTCTTTGGGGTTACGTGAAATCCAAAGTTTATGTGGACAAACCAAGAAACATTCAAGAGTTGAAGGAGTCAATTAAACGTGAAATTACCGAAATTCCGGACGATATGGTGCAGATAATTATAGGCAATTCAAGGACCGTCTTGAGCAATGCATCGCCGAAGAGGGTCGCCATTAAATGAAGTAATTTTTCACACTTAATAATTTTTTATTTTTTTTCAGTATATAAATAAAAATTACTATGTTCCTCTACACATTCTTTTTACTTTCAATCTCATATGACTAAATTTATCAATTTGACAGAGTTTTGAAATGCGTCCGTCTTTTCTTGACTACTCTGTACAAATATGTTTTATCCTTGTCCCATACAACATTGAATATTGTAGACATAATTACTAAATAATTTGAGAAGTAAAATATAATATACAAAGTAAACAATATAAAAAAAATGAAAAAAATTATTACAAGTGCTCTACTTATTCTATTTATCTAGAGGAATATAACTAGATTAATCTAGCTGTATAATCTTATCTTCATGTACATTAGTGTTTACTCAAATTGATCTAGCTAGAGCAAGAGCATTATTGCTGGAGTACTCTAGATACTGTGTAAATGTATGGTCTATTTGTAGAGAGGTTAGACCTAGGTTAACCTAGGTCTACCTAGGTCCTAGAGTAACTCTATAAGAAAAAATACAGGTACCTTAATAGAGCTATTCTATTGGAGCCCTAAAAAATCTCCAATTTATAACGGCTTAAGGATATACACAGCGTGCACTACGTTTACAATTATTGTAGCAAACAATGACACAATAAACGTTAATGTAGTCTCAATAGCTCATTCAACTCTTATTTTATTTTATCGAACAGTTTTTTTAAGTGCACTATTATAATATTATTATTATAACAGGTACCAATATAATTTTCCCTACATATATGTGTTATTAAAAAAATTAAT